TTATCATTTTTTTCATCAATCTTTATATAACATTCATCAAGTTTTCTTTTAAGTTTTTTAACTTCATTTTCATTCTTCGATGCTTTAGTATGTTCATTCATTTTTTCATTAGAAGATTCATCAGTAATTTCTTTTTTAACATTACTTTCATTTAAATCATTCATTTTTTCTTTGGCATAAGTCATTTCATTAACAGTTATATTCTTTGAAATCTCTTCTTCAACAAAACGATCATTGTCAATAAATACATCAAAATCAAAAACATCATTTTCAGAAGCTTTGTTATTTATAAAAGAATATTGACCATTTGGTAGAAGAACATAATAACCAGATGTTTCATCATTGATAATACATTCATATCCATTCAATTCATTTGATTCATTAAATTTAATAGAATTTGTATCAGTTTCAAAATACATTTTTCTTTGTTTCTTTCAGATGAAAATTGTTGAACTCATTCAGAAATTCGATTCTTATTTTTAATAACTTTTTTTAGTTATCATGTTTGTTACAAAAAATGAATTTTGAGTATCTATTTTCCGAATTGAGTATAAGAATTAGTTTCACGATTTTCTAAACATAGATGAATTAGTAGTATCAAATAGATGATAAAAACTGTCTTACTATGTAATTCTTATTATTTTTCTTATCTATCCTCCTTTTGGTAATTCTTATAACTACAAAGAACCAACAGATGTTTATCTTTTCTTTGTAATTGTATTCTTAAATTCAATACATAAATCCATTGTATAACATTAATGTAAATAAAATATACTGACGATCAAAGGTTACATTTGTGTAATGTGATAATCGATGTGACTTTCAAGTGCATTAGTACACCTTATTCTATAGATAAGCCTTAAAATCTATTATTTTATTAATCTCTAAATTTTTGCAATCAAATTGTCTAATTTCATCTAAATCATCTTCATCAGAAACATAATCTTTATCTAATTCTTCAAGATTATTATTAAACATATCATCATCATACTCAATTAAATTTGAATAACTTTCTATTATTTGTTCAAATTCTGATTCTGGGATATTATTAGCGACATAATTTAGTTCATGTTGGGCATTAGTTATATAATATGTATGTAATTTCATGATATTTGAAACTTTTTCTACAGTTAGTCTATAAAAATATGATTAATTTAATATATATTATATTATATTTATATAATATAGTATAGTATATGTATAATATAAAATAAAATTATATTGTATATAATAAATTTTAATTGAATAATGTATATATAGCAATAAATAGTAAATAATTTATAATACAGTATATTCTTATTATAATGTAATGGTTGGGGTAAGAAATTCTATATGTTATAATGAATATCTGTTATAGCATTATATAATATAATAATAAGAATCTTAGAATATTCCAGAAAATTTTTTTATTATAATAAGGTATTCACTATAACAAAATCCATTATAATGAGAATAGATTATATAAATAATAGCAGAAAAAACTGTCAATATTAAACAACTACTCTAATAGGTAAAAGATTGTATGATTAGTTGTGTAAGTAGTGATAGAAAAAATGTGCATTTTATAATAAATGCATATTAATGCGCATGAAATATTTCGTGTATATGACATCACATAATAAAAAAATCAAAAAAAATCTTCTGATCAAGAAAATAAAAATCTTGATAAAATAAAATATGCATAAAACAGAATCATATGCATAAATACACATTAATATGCATGTTTCTGCAATTATGTGCATATATAAAATCTATCACTATATATAATATCAATAGTTTTTCTTGTTTTAAATAGTATTTATATATTATATTTATAATTACCTGCTTCTTCATTTTTGAGTAATCCAACTTAAAATCGAAAAAATGTGTTAGCAACTTGCACTATAAGGTATAATTGCTAATAAATGCAGAGCAAGTTTTTGCAAGTAATGATTTTGTAACTTGCAGCCATTCCACCATATTTGTAGTGTTTCAACTTCTTCTATAAAAGTAGTTATATGGTGGCTCATATGCATCATATAGTTTAATTTGTGCTACTAATATATTTGCATTTTCTAATCCTTTTTTACTAATTTTTTTTCATATTTCAAGGGCTGTATATAAAATTTGATAAAATAATGAGTCTTTTATACCTTTTTCTCAATATTTTGGATGAAGAAAATATGCTAAAAGGTAGATTTTTATATTAAATTATTTCTATTAATTATTATAAAACTGAATGCACTGCTTACGAAATTCATTATGTTCTGTTAAATTATCTTTTTCAAGTATAATAATAGCATTTGCCATTTTAATAAGCAATAAAAAAACATCAGCCATAGTTGTAGATTTTGATTCAATTATTTTAACTGCATTTTTAGCAGATAATATTTTTGCTAAAATTTTAGTATTTGCTTAAAATTGTCGATTTCGTATAAGATTTCTTAATTCAGGTGTTAAAACAAAACTATCATCATCTAAAATCTAATTATAATTTTAATTAATAATTATATAATATTGTATAAAATAATAAATAATTACCTGTTTAATACAAATTTCTATATTGAGAACTGATTGTACACAATCATATGCAGATGACCAACGTGAACAAACAGAACTTTTTAATTCACCTTTGTTTATTATTAAATGAGTTATTTCAGAATGTAAAATTGCTCCAGATCAATGAGATGTATGAAAATATGTAACAAATAATTGACATTGTTGTAATATATTTTTACCAAATGAAGTTCTACAAATGATATCATTACAAATTAACTGAATATGATGTGCCATACATCAAACTGATAAAATTGCTAAAAATTTATTTGAAACATATTCTTTGGCAAGCATTATAGCTGAAACCGCATCTGATATAACAGCTCCAAATTTATCAACACCAATATCAGTTAAGACTTTTTCAATTTCATCAGCTGTAAACATTGAGTATGTGATTTACTAGAAAAATCTTTAATTGAATGCACATACTGTTTTTTATTAGCCATTATGATTATAAAAGCAAAATAAGAATAACCACGATTGCTGGTCCATCCATCTAAAGCTAATAATAATAAATTAATATAAATTTATTAAATTATATTATATATAGTTAGTATTCATTTATAAATATTACCTGATTTAAGATTTTTTTC